CCTTCCAAACAGTCATTTGTGGTATACCTAACTGCAAAGAAGCTTGTCTAGTTCATTTTTGTGAGCCTTTGAGAAAACACTTCCTGGATTTGATCAACATCTTCCTGTGTAGTGCTCGGACTTCCTGCTCCTTTTCGGTGCAGAACACTACCGGTCTCTTAAAACTGCTTTAACCATCAGATAGCATTATTTCAAAGTGGATCTTTTCCGTACTGAGTTCTGTCAGTGACACTGCATTTTGATAACAAACTTTGTTTCAAAAAACCAAAGTACACACATTTCTCTAGAACAGTTTTCATTTGGATGTATGACATCGTATGAGTATTTTCTCCCAGACATCAATGCAGTGAGTACAGCGCTGCCAAATAAATCACACTTTCATACAGACATATCTCTGTGTGTTATACACCACCATCAGAATCCTATAGTAATTACTTACACTTTCATAATTTGTAGTCAGTTTTATTTTGTTTCCAGTTTGGAAATTAGAGGCCATGGAAACCCCGACAGTAATTTAGAATCACACTGTAGATCTTGGAATGATTTATTATCATCGCTATACTGTTTCAGAAACAAAATATTATCCATCTATGGTTAGCATTATTTATGAATTACTGGTATCATCTTGGACAGTGTACTTCAAAACACAGAATATCATATACAGCAAATATATACAGCAAGAATATACAGCAAAGCTGGAATAAATTCTCATATATATATATTGTATGCATAATAATGAAATAAGAGCAAGTATGTATCTTGCATCTCATACTTATACCAGCAGTGAACTATGAATTCTATTTGTTCAATACTGATTCACACAAGAAGGGATTCAATACATTATGTGGAATGAATGGCTCCAAATGAACCTTGAGATGTGACTTCAACCAGGAGTCCACTGAGTCCACGTGGTATGTAAGCCACTAACTGGTCTATTGTACCAGCCCCAGATGACAGATAAGTATGAAGCACTTTGTTGGAATGAGAACTGGCAGGGGAAACAGAAGTACTTGCAGAAAACCTGCACCAATGCCACTTTGTCCACCACCAGACCCACATGACTTGACCTGGGACTGAACCCTGGCTGCTGTGACGGGAAGCCAGTGACGGCACATCATACATCCTTGGTCCAATAAAGTATATAATCAGGCCTCACACAGACAGCACAAGTTGTCAAGACAACACACATAGACCGTGGAAAAACCACTGTCACATTTAACCCTGAACAAAATCACTCATATTTCCAACCATAATAACTCTATGCTGCGCAATTGCACACCTTGCCATTCCACACACACATTTGCCAACCATATCATCAATTCAGTTTCATTGTAACATATTAATACTGCCACACTTACAACAAGCAAGTCTCAACAACATATAATACGAGTACAAGCTATAGATAGTAGCATTTTAAAGGAAACTGTCCATCTTTAGGTAGAGAAGTTAGCAGTGTGGGAAAATGAGGGAACATTTTCAGGGATAGGAGAACAGGAATTGAGGCTGAGAGCAAGTTAGAAGGTGGTAGTCCTTACAAGGATCTAAAAGTTTTGGAAGGGGGGAATAGTTAAAATATAATCATCAGAAAAAGACCAAAGAAACTGAAAAGGAATAGCAAAATGGGAAGACTGGGTGTAACATAGTTTGGGAAGGAGTACTGAGGTACCCATGTAGAGTTCTCGGTATTCAACCCACAGTGTCTTGTGAAACGTCAGTATGCCAGTTGACCTATGGGTCAATCTGCTGGGACCTGGTGCCTCCATACCCCCAAACCATATAACATTCAGTGTTCACCTTCCACACTTTCTTCTCAGACATTCTTCTCCTTCATTTCATCCTGGAAACATATTGTCTCACCTCTTTGCCTTTGAAAATATTATTTTGCAGCAACAGAAACTACTATGCAGCTAATGATAACATCGTCATCCACAGTTCAATTACATACAAGAAACCTACTTTGAACTTGAGCTCCATCAAGAAAGCAGTTTTCTGGGATTTGCCACCGTGTATATGTGGTGTTAACCGACGTTTCGGAGGAACGTATCGCCTCCATCTTCAGGGTAGAAGAGAAAATATATAAGAAATCTGCAAGCGAAGAGACCGTGAACCGNGTGCCAAATCCCAGAAAACTGCTTTCTTCATAGTCACCGCCGTGAAAGCCTCAAATTTTACATTGAGCTCCATCTCTTTCCCGTTTTGCAAACATGTTTCCTTCGTCTCAGAATATTAGAACTTCACTTGGCCAGAGTTCATTTTGGCCTTTATCTTCAAGTAATTAAATTTCAATCGAAAATTGTGTGGGAAATTGTTTTCTGACACACACGGGGCTTGTTTATGTGTAGGTAAGAATGAAGAGGCATTACTTTATACTTGACCTGCAAAGTTCAGGTTATCCACCTCAGTGTGAAACTCTGAGAAACAAAATCAGTATCAGGATTGAATGTGGGTAGGACTATTTATGTAATTTCTTTACCTATTTCATTTTCGTTACATTGTTCACTTTTGTTGGTATAGGTGTATTCCTTCTCTTCCTTTTGCCATATAATGCTACCTGTACTGAACTGGTGAACATGAACATAAGATTTCAATATTAATTGCATTTCTTTAAGATATATTATTAATTTTTGCTATATAATCATATCCATTACTGAACTGGAATTTGAATAGATACCAAATTTTCAGTATTCATTATATTTCTTTAAGATATGTTATTATTTTCGCCATATTATTCTGCCCAGTACTGAACTGGTGAAGATGAATATATCAGATTTTCTTATATCCTTAAATGCAGTCTTAATCTTTGTTGACAAGAGTGTGTTTCACATTCTCGAATTCCATCATTCTGATGAAAATGGGAACATGAGTATTGTTGCTTACAATACATGATTTATAATAATTAAAAGTAACCGAAGAACTGTGTCCTGTATGGCTTTCAAGTGTAAGTTATGAGGGAATTATGGAATTTAATATATGTATCTCTGATGGAAACAGAATTTTCCTTCAAGTT